CAAGATGGCTACAGAAACTTTCTCACGCAATAGATTACATGTTGTAATTACGGATTTTATTATTTCTCTCACCCAGCATCGTTTTCTTTTTGACTTATTTTTCTTTCTCAATAAATAAACAAATGTGTGGTTAACGATGGAATATTGGAAGTGGCCATTTTGTTTTTTGAGATGATGTTTTCACTTGCTTGCAAATGATTGGCTGCTTAAAATTCGCAATTGCTTTTGGTTGAAGGGTCAATTTTGCTAAGTGAATAAAAATCGCTTTTGCTATTCGTTCAGTGTGAACTAAGCTTTAATTAATGTTACCAATAGGTATACACTAGGATTCCTTTTTCCAAAGCTGCTTTCCAAAAAGTCCAGTTGTGGTTCCAGCAACAAACTAATAAATTTTTATGGTTTTTTTATTGAAGAGTATCATTTTTTGCAGCAGATTATTAGCTACAAGACACTTATAGAGTTAAATTGTATAAAATATTTTGTAATACTATATTTTTCAATCATAGGTTTTTTCCCATTGAATTAATATTTTGCAAAAACATATCATTGTATTATGCATGATATTTTATTGCTTTTTATAATAAACATTTTAGGTGGTGGAGCAATCGAAATGGAATTATCCAAGTACTTGAGAGATTATTCTCGTACAGTAGCCGGAAAACAACAACTTTTAATAGGAGCAATGGCAAAGGCTTTAGAAGTTATTCCAAGACAGTTGTGTGATAATGCTGGATTTGATGCTACTAATATCTTAAATAAATTAAGACAGAAGCATGCCACAGGTTTGTATGAAGTTTTAATTATTCAGATGTGTAACTCTGTGATAATTTCAAGTGTCATTTCAAATTATTATTATTATTATTACATATATATATATGAAATTATTTGAAAAATAATTTTTCAATTGTTTATCAGTTATTTAGTTTAAATGCTAAATTTTAAAATTTTACAAATAATGCATTGACACATCTATACTTGTTCATGCTGTCAACAAAAAAATGTTGAAATTATATAGTAAGATGAAAGCGATATGATTGCTGTTATATCATGTTGTCTTACTACTACCAAGTAACCAAGTATGGTTATATCTAAATTAATAGTTCTGGAAGTGAAGATTGTTCAAAAGTCTGGGTAGCATAACTGGAAACATGACCACAGAAGTTGCGGGTTCTAGTCTCACTTCAGGCCAATTCTTATTTCCAGCACTTTTATAATCATAATTCCAAATTAATTTTCAAAATATTAAATTTAGCAAGAGATGGTGTCTAGTGCTTACCTCTAGTGCCAAATTAAATGCTAAGCTAGCTCAATACAGTCCAACAGTCATTTGGCTTTAAAAAATAACTATCAGGTTTTAGATGTTAATGTTTGTATATATAATAAGATTGCATTATTTATGTTTTTCTTTGTACTTATAGATATTAAGAGAAAGCATAGTCAGCACAACTAAAGTTGATCCTTGGGTTGTTTCATTTTTGTCTTTAAGGGGTGAAAGCATGGTTTATGACTATACAAATACTCCCTTTGTTTTGTCTTGAAAAGGGGTCAAGTGTTCAAGTGTGTGCTGTTAATTTAGTTAATTACATCAGCATTATTACCTTCTATTCAATATTATATTAAAAATTTAGATTACAAATTAATTGAAAGAAGACATATTGTCTTATCAATTTCCCCTAACACACTAAGATGAACCAACTCAACAGTCAAGCCTGGTTGTGCTGACTAACTACATTATATTCTATTCATGTATAGTTACTTTATATACATCCACATAAATACACAGTGAGTTGAGTGAATACTGAGTTTTAGGACTGATTTAATATAAAAAGCATACATGAAGGAGAAATAACTAATTTATTTCTCCTTCGAGATAGTATCTTAAAAAAGGAGGGATGTGAGATTTTGTAAAATGTTGGTACGTGCAGTACTTGGCACAGTCATACAGTTTTGTATTCCACTGTAAAACATAACTGGAATAGACTAGTTCTCATTACATTCATTCTGGTATCAGAAATTATTTTAACTTGTCTTTTTAGTGGATTGAAAGTAATCTTCAGGAGCCAAGTCTGACAAATGAGAGTGATTGAATGTCATAACTTGATTTTTAGCAAGAAACTGGTTGAAATATGTTGCATTATGGAAGGGGGTGTTGTCTAACATATCAAATTTTTTGGAGAAGTTCTTGTAAAATGTTGGTCACTTGTCCAGCTGGTACAAATGCCTTGTACTGCTTGCTGCCAGTCAAAGAAAATTACTATCATGGTTTTCACATCAGACTTCTGCAATTAAACTTTCTTTGGCAAATTTTCATGTCAATAAGATTGGCATTTATGACTGGACCATGGGCAAAATACTAAGTTTTGTCACTGTTTTAATCAAATCTTGGCACGCAGCAATTGCTGCTCTTTTCTCTTAAGTCTGTATGCGTGCATGTGGAATAAATCTCCAAAGAGCTCCTTCTCTTCAAATTTTCCATTAAAATCTTCACATTGTGTCCTTGCTGATATCTGCTTCTGCTATGATTCTCAGGTGACAATTTGCAATTACCAGTTTTTGAATCATATTGATGATGATATTTCAACACTCACTTGGGCAACCAGTCCAAGGGTTATCTTCAACATCATCTCTGTTGCAACACTGCATACCATTAGAAAATGTAGATTATGATAGTGCAGGCAGCAATCATTAGTTCCAACTGTTGGTGTTGCAGTTTTATAGCAGAACTTTTATGTATGGAATAGCAAGTGGCAATAATCCATAATGGGAGCTCTTCACTCAGTTACATTCAACTGCCCATGTAAAGAGTCAAGACATGCATGTAGCAAAATCCATTGGTGGCAGATAATGATGCAGCCAATGATCTCTATGAAAAATCTGTCCTAAAGCTTAGTAGATGCATTCTATATTGTAAAAAAATTCAATGAATGAAATAAAAATGTTTGTATTTATTCCATATATGGAATAAATGCTCATTCAGAGAAAAGGTACAAATGTTTCTCTGAATGATGCAGTTAGGATTTTATCAGAGCTGCAAATCATGTCTAAAGGAGTAAAAAAGTCAAAGGCTGATTTTGAGTACTATATCTCACAAAGGGTCACATGTAGACCATCAGTTCCTGTCTGGAATTATGAAGACAATCAAAAATTGGGATAAAATTTAAAAGTGAGAACATCTGGAACTTTTTCCCAAAACAATACGAAAAATCATCTGTTTTATGAGCTTTTAGTCAGCTCTAGCAAAGTGGAAAATATGATTATAAGTAAATAATCTAGATTCACCATTGCACTGACTACTTCCAGGAGTCATGCTGCATATGCTGTTAAAGCCTATCATGTGTTTAGCAGCCTGGTCAAGATGTTCTAATGATATTTCTTGCCAAGGGTCATTTAGAGATGGAGTTCCTTTGATTTTGGTCCTGGCGTTTAAAATTTGAGAGGGGATTTGGAACCCTTCATTTAGAACTGGAATTTTATCACTTGTATACAATTAAATATAATAAATTTCTATTAGTCCACAGTTAGTCAACTGAATATTTTTTATGTAAATATTTGGTGTTACAACTGTGGTAAAGCAAATTGTTCTAGATAGGTGAATTATGGCTTATCCGTATTTTCATAGAAGAATTGTTCAGACATCTACAAAGTATTTTGTTATCGGAACAGTATGATTAAAAGATATTTAAATTTATAAACATTAACTATTTTTTCTTAATTTAGGTGGTCAGTGGTATGGTGTAGATATTTTTAATGAAGACATAGCAGACAATTACGAATCTTGTGTTTGGGAGCCTGCCATTGTTAAAATCAATGCTCTGATAGCCGCTACAGAAGCTGCTTGTCTTATTTTATCCGTCGATGAAACTATTAAAAATCCAAAGTCGGGTGCAGAAGAAACAAATGCCGCCAAAGCACTGACCGGAAGAGGAAGAGGAAGACCTCACTAAAATTCCATTCTAAGATTATTTAATTGAAAGACTCATTAAATTCCATTTTCTTTAATAATACAACAGCTTGTTTGGAAGAACAGGAATAATAATGTTAATGTTCATTTTACAAGATCCGCCACTATTCATTTTGAGTATTTTTCATTGTTTAATTTTATAATAAAATAATTTAACAGTAATTTAATGGCATGGAAACTGTTAATTTGTTTTTACACACACATTTTTTATGAAGTTAATTGTTAGCTGGAAATTTATCTAAAAATTGAATGTATTTAATTAAATTGCTGCATTTAAAAAAATTGTATGATCAGAATTATTTTGCTTTTAAAAACTATTTATATTTAAAACATTTTTCATATTGAATTTTATATCAGAAATTCAATTTGAAACATTGACACAGTCCCAGTTTTTATGGTGGAAATTTTACTAATATTTTTCATATTAGTAAAATTTCCACCATAAAAACTGGGACTGTGTAAAGGTAAAGGAAAAGGCTTTGTAAATTTCTTTTATACTAGAGCTTTGTTTTTGGATTTCATTTAAACAAATTTTAAATGGAAGTTATGCAATTTAATGTAAAACTTTAGTTTGCTTTTTGATTCTTGAAAACCAAAATTTGTTGTATTGGTTTCAATAAAACTTTTATCGAAGATATTCATCAATAAGCTGATATTAATACTTCAAAGTATCTGAAATAATGTGCTACACTAAACACTATACAGTGGGTGATAGGTTAATTAACAATCAATCTGTTCCAAGACTGTTTGCTATTGAATTATAAATTTTCCATAAATTTTTATGGGAATTTGATTAATTTGTTCTGCAGACCCCCAAAAATATAAATAAACGTAGTACAGTAAGTATATAATTTTTTATGTATTGATGATGACAATAAAAATACATGTATACAGTCTTGCATCATGTTTTTTTTTGTTTGTGGGGTGTTAAAGAACCTGTCCAATGTTGATTGCTTTTCTCTGCTATTAATGTTCTTCAGGATTTTTTGGAAGTAATTTTTGTTCTAGAGATTCCTAAGGCTATTAACCTCAACCTGGTTTGGATGCCTAAGACTTGTTCTGACATCCTTCCACTTCTTCAAAACATCTTTAATAGCAGATGTTGCATTAATCCTATTTTTCAAAAGAAAACATATCTTGCCGAATTTCTTGGTGGTCTTCATTCACAAGTTCTTGGCATTCTGTTCTCATATCAGTTTCAAATTGTATTATGAGTACTTCACTGTTCTTTATTTCTCAGATGTGATTTTTGTTACTCCTTTAGCTGCTTGAGTCTTCTTGATTATACTTTATCTTTCTTAGATAATATTGTCTTGAACACATCTACAGCTCATACTGCCCAGCAACATCAGACATCTGCCCACTCTACTTTTGCTATTATACATTTTGTGAAAATAAGGCAATGAAATGCTAAAATCCAGCAATGACAGAAGTTATTCTAAACTTGAATCATTGTCTAATTAATTTTAATTAATGACCAAGCATATCATTTATTTTTAATTAATGACCAAGCACCAAGTTACCAAAAAACATTTGCCAATAAATTACCAATGGGTCTAAGATGGTTTAAAGGTGCAAATCAAATATCTAAATTGATAAGGCTAGAAGTAGTGCAGTCTCGGATGTGTTCGAGAGACCGCAATATCCATCATGACAGATACCAGTTCGTGACATCCAACACATTCATATTCGGGAGTATCTCAGAACTCGAGACTAGCACTAGTGTTGCTACCAGCCGGTTTTTAAATTCGTGGTCTGGATTTATTTTGTCCGGTTTTAGTAAATAGTTAAATTTATTTCATCATACTTTCGCAATTAAAACAAAATAGTCTTTATTAAAATACTTGCCAGTAACTTCACACCCCATCCAAACGTATCCCTAGGCTAAGAGTGACAGAAAATGTACTTTTAAAATTCTAACTTGCAAATATTAGGTTTGTTCCAACACAAGTCCCTGGCTGGTTTGAATTTGAAACCGTACTAGTTATTAAATTACAATTTCTGTTTTAACTCAAGAAATTGAAAAACAAAACAAAAACGCGAAATGTTTGGGTCAGCAATTTTGAAAAGGCAACATGCTAGGCGCACTGAAATGGATAGATGTAACTGAAAAGAATCTGAATACTACGTTTCTTATGATTTAAACTATCGTGACAAGCCAACCTTCCATTTTTGTAGATTATTTTAATCAACTTCAGATTTTAATATTCATTACAGAGTGCTTAACCATAAACACATTGTTGTTTCAGTATTTTTATGCAGAAACAAGATTAGGAGAAAATTTTGTAAAGATGTTAGTTATTTAAATTGATTTTAAACAATCACATTAGATCTTATCTACATAAATCTCATTTCAATGTTGTAACTATTGTGATAAATTAGTTTAACATATATGAATCTCTTTTTATAATATAATTTTCAAATGCACTAAATTAAAGACATTATCACTACAATCTCCCTAAATCTTTACGATATTATTTGAAATAAAGGCTTGCATATGTTAACATAATTTCTGTTCAATTAGAAGACAAAACTATTAATTCGGCAAAACTTTATTCCACTTTCATGTAGACACAAGAAGAATACACCAGGGGTCGGCAATCTTTTTTAGGAAAGGGCCTGATCGGGTTCTAACCTGGATGGGCCAGGTTGCAAACTCGAATAGGTAACTTTTTTGCCACAAGAGTAGAAGTACCTATTTAAAAAAAATATCATTTATTAGAAGTGATTTTTTACATACTGTATTAGCAATAATGGGTGTAAATATTGTAAGACCGATTAACGCGGTCTGTCCGAACCCTGAAATGCCGCGATGATGTAAAAAAAAGGTCAAAATTTACGTTGATTCGTATATAATACGATTACTCCTGAACACGAACCATTCACCAAAAGGCGGCAATTCGTCGTAGAGCTGTATGCTTGGTGCAATTTTGGGGAAAAAAATATAACATCATGATTGCCATGTGCAATATCGAATTCGCTTGGCAAGAATTAACTGATAAATGCACGAACGGAGTGTGGAAGAAGGTATCCAAGGATTCTCAACGAGACCTATCGTTGACCAAATTGTTATCTTAATCGATACAGCAAGACTTGTAGACGAGCAGGATATTGAATTACCGCAGGTTTCTGGTGAGAACCTTACCAATGACGACCTTCAAGAACTGGCAGAACAAGGAATTCCTGTATAACTGGAAAATAGTGATTCTGAAAACGAAGAACACAAAGAATTTGCTACAAATTTCCTTAGTAAAAGCTTGGTAACGATAACGGAAATCATTGATCAAACTGTAGCGAATGATCCAGATTTTGAAAGGAGTTTTGGATGCGATTTCCTGCTGCCGACATTTACTTAAAAAGGAAAATAGAATAAAGTGACAAATGACACTACATGACTTCATCGCAAAAACACCAAGAGTTTCAGAAGAGCCTGGACCTTCACAAACGTGCACACAAATATAAAGTTCATTTTTATGTGTTATGTGACATACTTTTATATTAATTTGCATAAGAATATAAATTTTACATTAATTTTAAGTTATTTTTGGTCGCGTGTTCCCCTTTCCGTATTTACTGTGTTAAAATGACCTCGCTTAACGCTGTTTCTTTTAGCGTTTTGTCGTCTAGGAACGCATCCCAAGCGCTAAACGAGGTCTTACTGTACTTAAAAACAAATAAAAACATTTTTAATGAACTTATTATAGAATGAGGAAAATGTACTAATGTGAAGAATGAAATTGTTTCTTCTGAGACAATATTTCATCATACTGGTCTTCCAAGTAAGTAATTCCTGTCATTCCCGCGGGCGTAGTTTGCCGACCCCTGGTATACATTGTGATAGTCTATATTTTTGTGAAGAATGAATAATTTGCATGTCGTGTGAAACATGGGCCCAAAAGAGGGTCACTGTTGCTTGTGCATGTTTGAGTGGATTAACGTATGTGAAACCATGGAATTCCGTTCCATAGCCTCCAACAAGTCGTGACAGTCCTAGTTTATGAAACACCCGGGGGCCTATTCTGAGCTCTTGCGATAACTCAACGAGAGCGATAGACGGGAACATTCGATAAGTCCCCGTAGCGAAAGGCAGTTAACGAACCTTAGACAAATCGCTGTTCTGTGCTCTATGTTAAGTGGGTTTTACTACGGGTAGTCAGTCGAAATGGGTCTGGGTTCCACGCTATCGATAGCTATTACGCTTTAAAATTTGTGCTCAAGTTACTATTTTAATAGATATTATTATTAAAATATAAGAACTCGTTGAAATATTCACATAATTAATGAAAAAGAAACAATTTTAATAAATTAGTTCTGTAAAGAAAAGAAAATAGTATTTGAATTTATCGTATAATGTCCATAAAATTATATGATACTTTAAAAATGCTTAAAACCTTTATTTTGTTTCTCGTATATCACGATACACACGCCTTTCATTATCAATTTTGTAATGAATATATTTAATTTCTTTAAGGAAATTTTGGAAAGTATTTATTTTTAATTATTAACCGTGTTTTATAATTATGAGAAAACATTTAAACATCAAATATGGGATAATGTGAACTGTTTTTATCGAAACTTTTCACGTGTATGCATTTTGCACACATTTAAATACATGTATACTTTGCAAACGTGTTTTCTCACATCATAAAAAATTCTTTTTCTTTCTTTAAGACGAAAGATCTTCCTGTTTTCTCAGGAGTATTTTAGCTTAACTTTACACACAATTTAAGCAGTTGAGAAAGGAAATTCGCCTGTGCCCATTCGTCAGCATAAAAACATTTAGGTCCAGGGTAGACATTTACGACAAAGAAAATACACTATTACACGTATCCACGAAGGTTTATTTAAAAGTAAAGGTTCGGTTTTCAACGAGAAAGGTGGAAAAAAGAATTAAGAATATCAAAGAAAACATTGTTATCAACAAATTTCGCACCCTCAAAAAAGGTGGTTTCCCCTAAGTAAACGTGCAGCCCAGGTTAAGATGGACTGAAGAGATGACATTGGTTTTTTTATCTTTAAAATACCCTATAACAATGTTTCTTGAGTTATAAATGAAGTTTGGCTCTTATTAATATTAAAAAAAATGGATTAAAAAATCTTTGAATGAATGCCAAATTTCATTTTTTTTTTTAACAATTTTCAGTTTCGCTTATCCGAAAA